TGATTTGGGCACAGAAGAAAGATTGGATAGCCATTGGACACCGTTTGGACATAACGTTTGTTGTTATAACGGTTGCTGCAATATTTGCTGCCAATGCTTACTTGTTGTCAAACTTAGTAATAATTAAAAACTTTTCTTTGTAGGAAACAAAACACAAACCCTGGAGTGGAAATAAAACGGCTTTATAGATTTTTCAGTCTTTTTCTGGCTTTTGAAATTCCAGAATTATAACAAAATTTAATTTGAACAATTTACTTTTATACGAGTTAAACTCTCATTTCATTGATATTTTGTTGACAGGTAATGAATTAAAATATTCAAAAAACAAATTTCAGCGTGATGATCATGAAAACAGGGTTGACTGATCAAGACAGATAATCTATGCTTTTTGTGTGTGGGCCGCAAGTGTAAATGTGTTTAATGCCGAAATGATTGATACAACCAATATTTACATTTCTCCTAGATGAACCTATTGAAGAAAAAATATGTTCCATTTGTATAAACTTATTAGGGGATCAGAGGTCATAACATGACTGAATCACATGGAGGGAAGGTATTTTTTCTGTTATTGAAACTGATTTCGAAAAGTTTTTCTAACTTCATCGGAACGAAAAAGATAAAATAATTCAAACGTAAGAATTCTGATTAATCACCAGATGTCCATTAATACTTCTTTCGGCGTGAGGAATGTTTTAGATAGCACTAAAAGTCTAAAACCGTGCTTGCCTTTTTAACTAACAATTTCTTTCGAAGTATGTTAACTGAAACAGATGATACCACCGCTTTTGATATCACATATATAAAGTACTCAAATAATATAAAAATTATTCATAGAAGCGATCGTTGTTCTTTCTTTCTGTACAGAGATTTCCTAAATTGGACCGCTAAACATCAATGTAAATAAATACTCAAATGTTGGAGCGATACAAACTTTCAAAACAAACCATATACCAAGGCTATAAGTCTTCACAGGATTTGATCACGTGACCAACCAAGTTCATTTCCCTTCTTAAATATGTATGTTAAAATATTTTAGCATATTCGAATTTATTGTGTCAGCTTTATATGAGATATCCAGCTTATTGGGATGAGGAGTGGTGGGGGTTATGCCCCTAATTGGATTTTTTTTATTGAAATGGTTATTATCAACATCACACAGAATAATTTCATTTTTCTTATGATTGAAGTAGACAGATTTATGCTCCCTTGGACTTTTAAAAGTTCCAATTATTTGCAGTTTCCATTCATTTCCTTTACAGAGGATGCATATATTGAAATTAAATTTAGCATACAAATTGATCATAAAAATATCTAGGTCAATTTCTAGGTAGGATCGAGTCATTTTGACAGAATTATGTCCTTTGGACTTAGAAAAATCCCAATAATATTCGAGGGAGGGGATATGTTCTTTTGTTTTGGTTGATGTTTTTGTAAATGTTCTGTATGTACTGGGTACGTCTTTAAGAAAAATTACACCAAACCGCATTCTTTAAGGTCTCAGACTACTCTCTAATACTCAGCAGGTCATATTATCAGTGTTTCGAATAACCATGGATATTTAATATAATTTATAAAAATAACAATCTGATTTAAATCAGCTGTTTTGATACGCTACCGCTTACGAACGTTCGTGCGAACGGTAGCGTATCAGAACGGTAGCGTATGAGAACAGTTGATTTTAATCAGTACGAACGTTCGTTAGCGGTAGCGTATCAGAACAGCAGATTTTAATCAGATTGTAATAATTAATCATTACTGACAAGAAATAGTAAAAAATGCCCTTTCAAAAGACTTCATTTTTGTTCTATTTAGTAATCTTTTACATTCAAAAGCTTTCAGAGGCTTCACCTTTAGGGGAATCTCAAGGCGCCCAATAACCAGCTCGCCTCACTCTTCTTTAAATCCTCTATCAACCCTTGATTGTATAAAGTAACTTTTTCCAACTTATAAAATGTTTCAAATATTAACAAGCCTATAGTAATGTTCGACAACATCCCAGGTAATAAAACAGTTTAAAATACTATGCAACATTTTTGGTGCATAATGTGATCCATACTGAAAAACTGTAGTCAATATTTTTTAAATGTTCACCCAACCGAAATGTCCATTGCTGGAAAATTAAACTAATACAAATTCTAGATAACACAGCAGCTATACATCGTCGATATATCTAAACATGGAGTTTAAAACCATAATACGTGTTTTTTTCACTTATAATATTTTGAACAAATTCTCCATGCATTATGTAAAATCAGATTGTTTTTAGGAAATAATTTTAGAAATGACCACGTCACTTACAAGGTAATTGAAATTAAGAGTTCCATTTTTATTGAAAAATCAGCTGGTATTTATGATGACAAAAAGTCTGAACCTTAATTTAACGTGGGGAATGATTGTATATCAAGTTGAAAAGTCATAAGTTTAAATATTGTTGGTATTGATAAAATTTTTTGAGTCTAAATTTTCAAAAATTCCTCTGGTCATTTTAAGTCTCAATCAAAGGATCAGTCTCCACGTCCCAAAGTATATATAATTGTACTATTCATGTATAGAGGGCCCCGAGGAAGACTAGTACATTGCATTAATCAGGTTACCCTCTTTAAATAAAGTATTGTTGTTATTATTACATGTATTATTATTAAAGAAGGGATAACATATAAAACTCATTTCCGGGTGTGTCAGAACATTATACCTCTTCTCCACGCCTTTGACCGGTCCATAGATATGTGCATATAAAAATGTTTAAAGACAACAAAGTACATGTATTTTAAAGACAATAAGCCTTTTTTCTGTTATCAAAAATGCATACAAATACAGTGTATAGTTATTTTGTCTTGTTGTAATATTTTATCGATTGATTTTGCTGCTATTCGTTCACTCTCCTTTCAACATTTATTCCAACATTCCACAAAAGCGTTATAACGATTGCGTACACACTCCGGGTACGAAGGACTTGTTCTTCTGATATTGCAGATTCTCATGGTGATGAAGTAAACATCGATACAGAGACATTTGCAAAAGTTGTTTTTATATTTTGTGTGACAACCATAGGCAAGCGAAACCAAGACAAACATCAGAGCAATGCGGCAAAACATCGCAAATTCCTGAAAAAAAAGTACATATGTATAACTAAATAATATATCTAATAAAAAGTTTTTAAAAGGTAAGATAAGCTAATGAGACCAAAGTTTTGCAATTGAATATGCAAGATGAACATTCCTAATGACAACGCTTTAGCACATTAATCCTACATAGATTTTACATCAATACATCAATGTATTTTATTATTTCTTAAAAAGAAAAGATTAATTTTCACGCTATCATCCCAACTCAAAAGTTATGTAAAATCCTGTGACTTAACTTAATTGTTAAATGGCTAACCTTGAAGTATAACTTGATTAATAAAACGATTAAAATTACATCTTAAATGTGTGTCAAAAATATCAGTTTTGAAAGTTTTTTTTTAATAATGAAAATATTTTCCTATGCTGTTTTGTTAAACATTTTAAACATTTTTAGCGAACTTGAACGCTTTGAATATAAACGTTTTATAATTTATTGTTTAATGGCAAAATGTTTTTAAGTAGTTATTTTCTTTTTTCGATAGAAAAGTAAAAGTTTTTTTTAAATAAAAGTTTACTAAAATGAATGTAACTTTCGTCAATTTTTATAAATTGCTTTATTTATAAGAATAAATTAAAAACATTAAAAAATTACCCCCGGTATATAATTTTATATATATTAATTGAATGACAAAAGTTTTTATCTAAAGATGTTTGTTAAGCAATACAGAAATTGTTAATAGCTAGAATTGAAGTAATTTACCTGAATATCTGCACAATATTTTCTGGTAACAAAAAGCGTGTAATGAAATTGAGACGTCAGTACGATATTTTATATATCATGTGCCTCCTGCTAATTCTATCACTTTTGAGGTGTCTGTTTTAAGAGTATTCACATATAAATAATATCCGGGAGAATACTGTTACATCAATTGTTTAGAGAACAACAGTCAAAATATTCAAAGATACAGAAGGCATTTTGGCAACCTTTCAAATTTCTCAAAAAGATCCGTATGAAACATAATTGTTCTTAATTCATATCTAATGCGCAGGTATGATTTGTATAAGGATGTTTGCTGGTTTGATCTGTATATTTTTTACTTTTCTATAAATACGTAGTATATAGTGATAACATCATTGCCCTTCTATTTCAATCGTGTACTCGTCTCCAGCTTGCAATTAACTTGAGATCAAATCAAACCATATTCTTAAGATTAAAAGAAAACCTTTGAAGTACAGTTAAGGCATTTTTGCAACGCAGAAGCAATGAAATAGCCATGTAAGAATTCAAGGGGGAAATTCTAAACTCATTTTGAATCTCTATGAATCAAAGCTAAAAATAGCTTTTGTAATTCAACACTGCACTTTCTGTAGGTGATTTTCTTCTCACAATTTTTCAAATAAAGTCCAAATTAAAATCCCTGACGGAGATTTTATGAACTTTGCAACCGGGTGAAGAAGTTTATGAAAATAATGTTAAATGTTAAAAATGACCGGGATAATACATATGCCTTCGGCCTTCACAGGATTTGATCACATGACCGACCCACTTCAATTCCCATTGAAGTTTATAAACTTGTTATTTATTTCTTAAAAGAAAAATAAGTGTTCTTGTTTCAACAACTTGTTTGTCATAACAGGGGGGAGGGGGAAATATGCCACTTTAAGATAATATTGAAACATTTCATGCATTTAGCATTTAATTTCTGTATTAACTCGGGAAGGTCCTTTCTTTTCTAGCTTTTCTAACTTTGTTTCATTATGACAACTTTAATAGTAACAATAATGACATTAAAGGCAATAAAATAAGTCAGGATTGAAGAAAGAAAAAATGACTAAGAAAAGACTTTATGAAATGTAAAATCGGTATGGTAAAAATATACTTTATTTCCTTATATGATGAAGTGTGGGAAGGAAATGAATTTTCGGTTCTGTATATCATGCACTTGCAGATAGAACTTGAGAATAATTCTATCTTTAAATCACAATGAATTTATTTCAGCATTACTATGTGTTTGCCATAATTTTTTATTTCGCCAACGGAACAATTAATCTCAAAGATGGACCAGGAGTTTGCAAAAGTGAAGAGTAAGTATGCTTTACAAAATTCAATAAATTGACTTGAAGACACTTCTTAACACTATACATGTCGTTATATATTGTATGAATTTCTATTTTTAATATAATTTTATTCAATTTTAACCTTAGTGGAACAAACCTTAAATGTTGTACAAATTATCAACAAAAGTATGACATCTGCGAACGTAAGTATGTTTTTTAAATATTGCAACTAAAAAAACAACTTTTCATTCTCTATATGTATAAGATCCTCAATACATAAATATAGAAAGGTTATGATATTGAAAAGTGAACGACTTCAAAAGTATATAAAAAATAAAAGATTAAAAACAATGCATATAACACTGATGTACTGTACAATTGAAATGTATAGAGATAACAAACAGTATTTAAGCTCAAAAGTCCATGAATAATAGATACATTACAGAGTAAACGCGGACCTCTAAACCATCAGATGTAAGATCAGGTGCCATGGAGGAGTGAGCATCCCCTACCGACCGGTCACACCCGCCGTAAGAGCATGCAAGAATAATTTCTAAAACAAGGTAAATTATTGACAAGCAAGTTAATGAAACAAGAATAGCAACATTCCTGTTTGAAATCATCGTTTCGTAAGTTCTATGGTCGATACAATGGCCTTGTCAGCAAATAAAATTTATCATTGAGTCAAATGCTGACAGACGTTTTTCATACTAATCGTTAGTCCATTATTTATACAATGAATTGACGACGGATTTCTCCGTTATTTCCCGATCATGACAAGGATCAAAGGTCAGCAGGGGATGCTCACTCCTCCATGGTACCTGAACCAGCTCTGATGTTTCGGAGGTCCGTGTTCTGCTCCTATTTTGTACTGTTTCATTGACCTTGATATTGAATACTGTTCATTATCTTCATATCCTTCTTGTCATGATTGTTTAACAGTTAAATAGCGGGAAAATTCGTCGACAATTCAGTGGGTATATAATGGTCTAACAATTACCATAAAATCGCCAGTCAGCATTTGACTTAGTGATAAATTGTTTTGATGTCAATGTCATTGTTTCGACCATAGAGGTTGAAAAATGATGACATTAAGCGAAACTGATATTCTTGTTTCATCAACTTTTTGTCAATAACGTACTTCATTTAAAAATTGTTCACACGTAGAGCATGCTCTTACGTATCGAATCAACTGAGAAAGATATAAACCCGTATGCGGGTGATGATTGTATTTGCTGTCAGGGTCATTGTATCGACCATAGAGGTTGCGAAATGATGACATTAAACAAGACTGATATTCTTGTTTCAACGACAAATTTGTCAGTAACTTACTATATTTAAAAAAAAAATTCACACGTAGACCATGCTCTTGAGTATCGAATCAACTGAGAAGGATATAAACTCCGTATGCGAGTGATGAAGGTATATTGCTGCATAAGCAGGGGGAAATTTAACGATTGAAAAGTTACAATCATATCGTTTGTTATCAAGCACGGTTGTAAGATTACCATTAACGTCTTTTTCAAATACAATATCCAATACATATGTGAAATATATGTGTCAGACTCTGTGGTATCTTTTTTCTCGAGCTACACGGGATATATAGTATCGATCGACATCAGAATGAAAAAAATATTGTTAATTGACAATACTCCGTCGATATATCTACGTGAATGTCGAGTTAAAGGCCACAGCAAGTGTTTCCTTCTTTTCATCTATAAGATTTTGGAAGAATTTTGTTTCATATGAATGCAAAAATAAGACTGCTTTTAACGGGGAGCAATTGGTACCCCTGGGAATTCCAATAGATTGTTGAAAAACCTGGTCTCCAAAAACCACATAGATCAAAAACTCAAGCATCTTTTTAGCATCAACTCCAGAGTACTTGTGTGTACAATCAGAATGTTTTCTAACAAATTAATTTTACAAATAATCATGACAAGGTGAGTACATTTACGAGTTCGATTTTTATTGAAACAGCAGCTGTCATTGATATCAAAAAGATTAGATTTTATTTTGTTGTATATAAAATTGTCAAGTCGTAAGTTTGAATGCTGTTGGTTTTGGTAAAATTTTATGATTTCAAATTTTCAGAAAGTTCCTGAGATTTTGCAAATTATCCACATCTGATATAAACCTCTTTTCAAATATATTGTTGCACAGTACTCCTGAAGTTTCTTCTCCACAACTCTTCATACTTTAGTGAGGAGTAAAGAAAGATGCTTGGTAGAACATTTAACAGAAACCGATATGTATTTTCGTAAGGATTTTGATGAAGTTTTGGAATCCAATATAGATATGGTAATTCAAATCCATTCTGGTTGATAGGAATATTAAAAATATTCAAACCTGACGTGTGATTTTGAAGAATGTCTTCCTTAGAAAGGTAGCTATGGGTATACGTTGGATTATGACTAGTAGTATTAAAACCCAGTTTCTCTAAATTACAATAAATTACAAATTGAATTGAAATAATGAGCCTTAAAGACATAATCAAGATAGTTTGAACTTTTCCTTTGGAATTGAACAGTTCTAATCCTTGAAGAAACCCTGTGTTTTATTTCAATGTCTATATATGGTATTGTACGCTTCTACTAAAACTATTTTGGATAAAAGAAACATCTTGAATATATGTTTAGTATTTTTTCAAATATCTTTTTTTCTTTGAATCATCCACGAATTTTCACCGATTGATATTTTTAAAAGCCCCATTTATGCATGCTGATTTTTTGTCTATGAACATCTGATGACACTATAATCTTCACTTTAGAATATCTTGAAAAATTATAAATAGGTCAGGTACACATGTACGTTGCGTATGTCCTTAAAAGACGATGTTATTACCTGGGATCAATACATACAAAATGCAAGAACCGAGAAGAATAAAAGATTGTTGGATTATGTGCAAGCGATTGTTATTTTTCATGGTTTTATTTATCTCTTAATCTTTTTTAATTTTTGATTTTTGTGTTTTTGTTTTGGCTAGTGTTTTTGTCTATACCTTTATCCAACTTATGAGGTGTCCTTGAAAATTTAGATTTTCCCCGTTTTTAGCTCACCTGAGCCGAAGGCTCAAGTGAGCTTTTCTGATCAAAATTTGTCCGTTGTCTGTCGTTGTTGTTGTCGTTGTCGTCGTCGTCGTAGTCGTTGTCGTTGTAAACTTTTCACATTTTCATCTTCTTCTCAAGAACCACTGGGCCAATTTCAACCAAACTTGGCACAAAGTATCCTTGGGTAAAGGGAATTCAAGTTTGTTCAAATGAAGGGCCACGCCCTTTTTCAAGGGGAGATAATCATGAATTTGTTAAAAATTAATGGCATTTTTAAAAAAAATCTTCTTCTCCAAAACCGCTAGGCCAGGAAAGACGAAACTCATGTGGAAGCATCCTCAGGTAGTGTAGATTCAAGTTTGTTCAAATCATGACCCCCGGGGCAAGGATGGGGCCAAAATGGCCGACCCAAGTTTTGCATAGGAATATATTAGAAAAATCTTTAAAAATCTTCTTCTCAAGAACCACAAGGACAGGAAAGATGAAACTCATGTGGAATCATCCTCAGGTAGTGTAGATTCAAGTTTGTTTAAATCATGACCCCTGGGGCAAGGGTGGGGCTAAAATTGCCGACCCAAGTTTTTCATAGGAAAATATAAGAAAAATCTTTAAAAATCTTCTACTCCAGAACCACTTGGCCAGGAAAGATGAAACTCATGTGGAATCTTCCTCAGGTAGTGTAGATTGAAGGTTGTCTAAATCATGACCCCCAGGGCAAGGGTGGGGCCAAAATGGCCGACCCTAGTTTTACATAGGAATATATAGGGAAACCTTTTAAAATCCTCTTTTCAAGTACTTCAAAGCTATGATTATTGATACCCGGGGTATTTATATGGAATCATCCTCAGGTAGTGTAGATTCTAGTTTGTTCAAATGATGAACACCTGGAAGGGGGGGGGGGTAAATTCAAGCCCGATGTGCTCAGGTGAGCGCTGTGGCCCCTGGGCCTCTTGTTAGAGAAAACAGTTTGTTAGTGGTAAATATCGGAACCTAGATGCAGAAAACGAAGATCTAGGAAGATTTCCATATACAAGTCCTTACAGAATTTTAGTGACTTACAGCTTAAAGTTGTAACTTAAACATCGAAATGTACTTTGAAACTCTAAATGAAAGATAGTAACCTCGCAAAATGTGTAACCAAGTCTGATGGTTTCAGGGATGCTGAAATATCACTATAATGTATAATATAATTTAAAACCCATTCATTTTTAACATTTTTAATGGTACATTATTCATGATTAAGCACTGCTTTATCAAATGTTTACTCAATCAATTCATATGGATGTAATAAAATATTTCAACGTGCTTTTTATTAAAATTATTAATGTTATTTTAAAACAATTGAAGGACAGTGTGAAAGACTAATACTGATTAAATAATTTCATTTCTTCGTTTGTCATTTTGTTCAAGCCTGTGAAGTAGGCACGTATGGAGACAGGTGTACAGGAGGACCATGTGTCTATGGATACTATGGATTTGGTTGTCAGAGTAAATGTAACTGTACGTCCGACCAGTACTGTGACAGGAAAATAGGATGTTTTCATAATACTAAAAAAGGTAAGAATTATTTGCGGTTGATATGAAACTTATCTCGTTTTTAGGTCACCTGAGTAAATTCAGGTGACCTATTGCCATCTGTTTTCGTCCGTCGTCGTGCGTCGTGCGTTAACATTTGAACATTTTCATCTTCTTCTCTGCAACCACTGAACCAATTTCAACCAAATTTAGCACAAAGCATCTATGGGTGAAGAGGAACAAAAATTGTGAATTTCATGATCCCTGCCCCCCTGGGGCCTGAGGGGTGGGGCCAAAACCACTAAAATTAGTGCAATCTTTGAAAATCTCCTTCTTTCCTCCTGGACATCAAGCAGTCAAACTGTTGGCGTGATTGTAATTAGCATTGAGTCCTCTACCACAATTGTGAAATTCATGGCCTTGGGGTCAGGGGTTCTAGTGCTAGGGCGGGGCTAAATTAGTATAAAGGGAAAATGCATTATTTCTTTGAAAATCTTCTTCTCTGCTCCTGGGTATTAAATAAACCAACTAAGTGAATAGTTATAATGAGCAATAGTGCCTCTACCAAAATTGTGAATTTCATGGCCCCAGGGTCAGCGGTTCTGGTGTTAGGATGGGGCCTCTATTGATTATATAGTGAAAATACATGAATTCTTTGAAAATCTTCTTCTCTGCCCCTAGGTATTAAATAAACTAACTAAGTGCATAGTTATGATGAGCAAGAGTGCCTCTACCAAAATTGTGAATTTTATGGCCCCAGGGTCAGGGGTTCTGGTGTTAGGGCGGGGTTCTATTGATTATATAGTGAAAATACATGGATACTTTGATTTTTTTTCTCTGCTCCTAGGTATTAAATAAACTAACTAAGTATATAGTAATGATGAACAAGAATGCCTCTACCAAAATTATGAATTTTGTGGCCCCAGGGTCGGGTTTCTAGTGTTAGGGCGGGGTTCTATTGATTTTATAGTGAAATTCTAATAAAAACTTTGAAAATTTTCCTTTCTAGGTATAAAGCAGGTGAACATACCTATATAGTTATGATGAGCAAGGGTCCTAATCTTCCAGAATTTTGAATTTCAAGGCCCCTGGGTCAGGGATACCATAGACTGGGGGGGGGGGCACTTATATATTAAAAATGAATGAATTGTTTGAAATCTGCTCCTTGGTATTAATCAAATATTTTTGAAAAGCAAGGATGCCTTTTTAAAAATTATGCATATGTTTGGATCTAGGCCTAAGGGTCAGGGGTTCAAGTGTGAAAGGGGCACTACTGATTAGTTGACATGCATTTTTTGCTCCTCTACCCTGCCTTTGGGTATTTAGTAACCAAACTAAGCAACTGCTAAGTGTATTGTTATAATGATCAATGGTGCCTCTTTCAAAATGCCATAGCATCTGGCTTAAAATATGAATCAAATTCAGTCATTGGAAAGTTGTTGCATAATGCTCATGTGACCTATAAGGCCCATGGGCCTCTTGTTAAAGACTGAAATCAATTTATTTTGTATTCGGAATGCTAACATTAACACTGCTATGCTGATTTTAAGAATTCCTGTCGAGTTTTTAAAAACTTATTTCTTTACATACGGGCAATAAGCAATCAAATAATTAATACGTCTATGCTGTTATTGATAGTCAGGTTTGAATTTGAATATGAATAGTCAACTGAATAAAATAGGATATATTTGATGTATCAAAAAGAATACTTTTGAGTTTGAGATGACAATGTGATGTTGATAGTACATAGAGAATGTGGTGTTGAAAGAATAACATAATTTAGTGTTTTTATAAACTGAAGATTGTAAATTTCAATTTTTAAACAGGCCTAGAGGGTGCAGTGTCAGAGGACAACTCAAATAATAGTATAGCCATTACTACTGCAACAACGGCGGCAATTCTCTGTGTAATTTCTATACTACTCGCTATTGTCTTCCTTTATAATAAAAGGTAAGTTATTTTGAAGCTATTATGTGTGTGGTTATTTAACAAAATTACCTAAATTTGATTCCCGTTGTTTCTACGGAGGAAAAAACGTTATTCAAAATCTTTAGGTAATTAGTCTGATGAATAAAAGGTTTCCAAAATAAATAAATATATTTGAATGGATCCTCATCAGTTCGTGGCTAGCGATGTGTTGCTTATTTTAAATAAATCAAATTCTTTAAAACATAAGTTAATCCTCGTATATTTATTTTTCTTTATTCTTGAAAAGTGGGAAACGTATGTTTTTCTTATTAATAATAGAGGATGTTGCTTTACAGATTAATATTTATTCGCCAGTATTTGACAAGTGAGTATCTGTAGAAGCACTCAAAATGCTTTAAAATAATATTTTTTAAAAATTTATTCTTCATTTTCCTTTTCATGATAAAACAAGATTAATTTGTTTTAGTAAGCAAATCGAAATCAATCTTTTATGAAGGACGGGATACAAACCGGCCTGAAAACGCTGATTCAGTGAGAGCGCAAGGGGATTACTCTCAATGGACAAGGAACTCAAACAATTACAACATGCTTAGCACCAGGAGATTTAATGTAGATTCCAAAGTAAACGCATTAGACGAGGAAGACGTCTACGATCATGCTGACGAAGGAATATTCAGCCGCCATAGTACGCCTCAGGACAAGTACGATACCATAGTTCTCAGCAAGAACCCTGTGATGGCTGCAATTGATTGCAATAAGAAAAATAGTCATAATAAAAGGAACGATGTTACGGATAACACAAGTGGTATATCAAGAGAATGCTATTCACTTGCTTTCAATCCGGACAATTCATCAGAATCTGCAATGGAGAATACGAAATGCACTTGAAATGGAGACAGGAAGACTAAAAAAATAAAATCATGATCATCTTATCTTGGTGCGAATTGAAGTGTTTCATATTCTGTTTTCATTAAAATGCTTCCTTAACCACAGATGTTTTCAATTACACATCTATATCTTAGGATTTTTTTAATGCTTTATTTCCATGCTTTCAACACAAACATCAAAACATTTATCAAAATTTGCACAGAAACTTTTTCACACCCACCAACTTTCGCACTTCACTCACACTTGCATCAACAATACATCAATTTTTTGCAAATTTTTACACACTTTATATGGATAAAACAGGGGACAAAAAAAAGTATGCTACATTTGATCTAAATATGGTTTTTTCATTTTTTTTTTTTCAGAATATTTACATTTCCAACATAGTTTTCCAATATGACCAAGCAGACTCAAAATTTTCTGCAGTTAGATTTTTAACAGATATGTACTTTTCAACCTTATAATACATTTTTAAATGGGCAATCAGCCCATTTAAATTAGGCTTCTTTGCATTTTCTAAGCAGTAAAAAATGTACTGTTTAGCATATAAAATTACAAAATTTATGACATAGATTGAATTTGACAAAGGTAACTCTCCAAAGATTACATTTTGAATATTAAAACCTACACGTTTTGATGTGTAATTGTAAATATGTAGACTAAGATCATTCCAAGTATGCATTACATCTTTACACATGAATAGACTGTGCAATATGGTTTCACATTCATTGTTACAGAATGTACAAATATCATTTTCTTTTATTTTAATTTTTTTTTAAGGTAATAATTTACAGGTAGTATTCTATGCAAAATTCTAAATTGTAGCCACTGGACAGCTAAATTTGAAGACACCTTAAAGCACACATTAAAAACATCTCTCAATTCCATTTCTTGAAATCCTTTTAGAAGCATTTCTGAATTCCATTTCGAAAAACCAGTTGGCTTTACATTCTTTGTGTTAATATTTTTATAAATATCTTTTGAACATTTATCAATCAATATTAATCTTTTGTATAACAATGGCAAAAATGGGCGCTGTAGCTTTGAGAAACCTACCTTAGAAAATTTTGAATCTTTTAAAAACTTTGAAATTGCACTTATAATGCTGTTATACTGCATAAAACATACATGATGAATGCTATGCTTTTTCGCAAAATTCTCTCTAGATAAAAATGACCCATTGACATCTAAAAAATCATCAATAATTTTTACACCATTTTTGTACCATTCTTTATAAAAAATACTCTTTTTATTCACTTTGATACAAGAGTTTAGTCAAACTGGGGTTGATAAAATTTCAGACTGTGTAAGATTTGCCTTGTCAAAACAATTATCAGTGATGACAGATAACCAAGACTCTAAGACATCTTTCCAAAATTTGTTTTTTGTACATTTCAACATTTTCAACACAAAATCATCACCCAAATTCAAAATCTTTTCCACAACATCTTGCCCATAAACTATTTCAAAAATACTCAACCATGAATGACTTCCTTTAATAATTCTTTGAATCCATGAACATTTTAGAGAAAGTATAAAATTTTTAAGATGTACCATGTTAAGGCCTCCCAATGTCTGGTGCTGCGTAGCAACAACACGTTTTATTTTATCACTTTTTGACCCCCATACAAATCTTAACAACTGCTGTGTTAAATTGTCTAAGCTTTCTTCATTTGGATTTGGTAATGAAATAAATAGATGGTTCAATTTTGGTACAATTAAAGTTTTTGCAACTGTTACCTGTCCAATGGGAGTTAGAATACGTCTTTTCCATTGCCGAATCATTGAAGTGATTTTCGGCAATTGGACTTTGAAATTTATATCAACAATCTTTTCTAGGTCAACAGAAAAATTTATTCCTTACAAGGAGAAAGTTGTTGCCCCCCCAATCTAGCTTCCATCTTGAATGGTGGAAAACCTCAGCAGAAATTTTTTTTGAGCCTATCCAAATAATTTTAGTTTTTGTACTGTTTATTTTCAAACCTGAAAATTTTGCATATAATTCTAATGTATCAAGCGCAGCATACAAAGAACCCGCAGAACCATCAAGGGCAAGAGAAGTATCATCAGCAAATTGAGATAATTTGTGTTCCTTATCATTTACAACAATACCCTTTATATCATGATTTTGTTTAATAAGAATGGCTAAAATTTCTGCAGAGAGAAGAAAAATGTATGGAGAAACAGGGTCTCCCTGGCGACATCCACGCTGGACTGGAAATTGCTTAGAAAGAAAACCGCTTTGGAGTATAGAAGCTTCAAAATTTGTGTTTAAAATTTTAATCCATTTAATTATATTTTTACCAAAACCAAAAAAGTGTAAAACCTTGTAAACAAAAGACCATGAAATGGAATCAAAGGCCTTCTCAAAGTCAATGAGAACCAACAATCCAGGTATATTATTAGTTTCAGTATAAGACATAAGATCATAAATAAATCGTGTGTTTTCCCAAATATATCTCCCTTTCATAAATCCTGTTTGTGTTTCTGAAATTAGAAGATCGAGTGTAGATTTTATTCTATAACTAATACAACCAGATATTAACTTATAGAATACGTTTAATAGAGTTATTGGTCTCCAGTTTTTTAAGAGATGTCTTGGCTTGTCTCCTTTTGGCAAACAAGATATTATACCAAGTCTCTGGGATATTGGAAGCTGTTTCTGAAGAAATATTTGATTTATTGCTTTTAAGATAAACATTTTAAGATCATTCCAGAAAAACTTAAAGAATTCAGTTGTAAATCCATCACTTCCGTTGATTTATTATTATTCATATTTTTCAGTACCAGAAATACCTCCTCTTCTTCTATATCTTTATCTAGGATTAATGTTGTTTCTATGTCTAATTTTGGAACATCGTGGTATTGAATGGTATTAGAGAGATCTACGTCTATCAATTCAGAATCTGCGTTTTTATATAAAGTTTCATAAAAATCTTTGACTTTATTAAGAATATCAGATTGTTTGTATATAATACCTTTGTCTAGAGTTTCTACCTTTTTTATTGTTTTGTTCAGGAAATTTCTCGACTCAAGATGACAGAAATATTTTGTTGACTTTTCCCCTTCTTCCACCCACTTGGCTCTAGATCTGATCATATTACCTTTTAGTTTTTCTTTTCTTAAATTTTCAAGAGCAGATTTTTTTTCTTCCAGTACAGAGAAATCAGGAATTGTACTTTAGTTTTCCAAATCCTCTATTTCCTTAATTAATGATTTTTCTAATTTAACTTTTTCTCTTTTTTTGAAAGTTGAATATGATATAGTTAACCCCCTGATTTCCATTAGTAGTATGTCAAAAAATACAGAGTAATCAACTGAAGTCTCTACTTCTACTCCATTTAGGTCCAGATAATACTGGTTTTTAACTAATTGTATTTTTTGTTTCACCTTTTCAACATACTCTTTATCATGTAAAAGATTATTGTTAAATTTCCATAGTCTACGTCCTCGTTCAAATAAATTAAACTTTAAACTCAATTGTAACTGAAGAATGATCAGATGTATACCCAGGTTTTATATCAAAATGTTCAACAATATTTGATAGGTTTTCTGATATAAGGATGTAGTCAAGTCGACCCTGTTTAACTGGATTTTTTCTTCTCCATGTATAAACTTTTTTATCTGGGTTAAGTATTCTATAATAGTCAACTAAATTCAATTCATTCATTATTTCAATAAGTTTATCTCTGGATTTGGGGTTATTTACATTTGCATAATTAAATGTGTCTATGTTGGGATTCAATGCCAGATTAAAATCTCCGCACATCTTAGGAATTTTCATTATCTTTCACACACAAACACACACACACACACCTCTGTGATGCATGCGTACCAAAATATTTACCAATCTCTGTTTGTCTCTCTCTTCACATAATCCCAGAGCCAGCAATTCCACTTGCTGTTTGCGCGAATGGACGAGTCGTATATGTCATGATGGTTCCCTCTTTCTTCTGAAAAAAACCCGCTGAAATAAATCCATTGAAACATAATTTTTAAAAGAATAGACGTCACATTATTTTATGATAATACTAAAAACAAATTAAATGTTTGAGTACTCATTTTATTGCTCTTTGCAATGAAAATTATGGTTAATCTCCTTAAAAATTGATCGTTATGTTGAACTAAAAAATCTGAAATGAAATATATGGAAATAGCAAACTGGATTTGGACTCTAAATTCCATGCAAACAAAGCAAATCAGGAGCAGAGCAAATACAGACCTTTAAAAAGGTGAAACCAGGTGCCATGGAGGAGTGAGCATCCTCTGCCGATCGGTCGCATCTGGCTTGTGCTTCTACTCATGATTGGAAAAATCCGCCAGCAATTCAGTATTTAAAGCAGTATGAAAAAGTCCGTTAACGTTGGTATTTGACATTATGATACATTGCATTTGCTGACAAGGTCACCATACATCTTACGAAATGATGACTTTGAACTAGATTGTTGATACTCTTTTTTATCAACGTATTTGTCAATAACTTACCTCGTCTTTGAAATCGTTAATATGTTGAGCATGCTCTTGTTTATCGAATCACCTGAGAGATAGCAAGAAGGTAGCAAATAATTTTTAAAAAGATTTAATCGATAATGGATGTAATCGAACGATAGTCGAGCTTTAATTATTCGTTAATATCCCAAGTATTAATTTACAGTGGAGCCTCATTTATCCGGACGCTTTGGTTCCCAAGCAAATTGTCCGGATAAGTGAAGCGTCCGGATATCTGAATTCTATTTATTTCTCTTCCAGGTATACTGTATTTGTATTTTAACTCTTATATATTTAAAGAAAGATAAATACTATCGTATAGAAATAATAATTTATTATTTTAAAATGGTAATTTTCTCCTCGTCAATAAGTAATTGCCTTAAATATTGCAAAGAAGAACGTGGAAGATCTACTTTGCGTTGGCAGATTTTTTTCTTTAAGCCGACTCGCGCTCTCTTTGCCGGCGGTGTAGACATGGTTGTAGCTGGAGAGCAGAATGACAAACATTGGAT